ATGTGAAGAGAGGACCTGCGGCAACCCACACACATGTGCCTAGAGTTCTTCCTCACCTGTGGCCCTTCAATGCCTCCAGCCACAAGACCACAGACCACTGCCTGAGTCTTCCACCTGTTCCAGCACCCTCTTCCTGCCACACTATGTCAGCATCAACGTGTGCAAGGAGAAACTCTGCTTTGTGGCCTACAACTGTGTGGCCATTGACACTGATGTGAACTGGGAAGAATGAGATGCCCTGTACAGCCTCACAGCCCTTGCCTGGGTGAATTTAGCACACCTTCCCTGCTGGCTCAGGTTTGTGCTCTGCACCAGAATTCACACGTCCAGGAAATCTGCATTGTGCTCTGCTCCTCTGTGTGGCTCGAGCAGGGGTGATGAGTTGACTTGAGTTCAGTCCCACAGACCCACAAGCCCTCCTCATCCTGGGATTTGTTTGCTGGGGTGTTTAGTCTCTGCTAGGGGGAATCTTCCACAAGCCCATCATAAACTGCCAGGCTGGCGCTGCTTGAAGGGAGGTATTCAGCTTCCCACTCCATGGAAGTTGCTTCCTTTTTCTGTTCCACCTCTACTTTTTCTTTTCTGGCTTCCACCATGGCTTGAAATTTTTAAAACTTTGGAAGACAGTATGTGCCCCCTCCCCAAGCAAGGAGCCAGGGATGGACAGGGAGTAACGTTCATCTGCCTTGGTCACATACCTCAAGGATGAAACCACAAGGAACATCTGTTGCCTCAGACACTAGTCTTTTCTTCCTCTCCCTCAAAAACCAGAGGTGTGAGCTTTCTCCTTCCTCCAACTCAATCTCAACTGAGAAAGTGCCACCACTTGCCCTGGTTCCTGGCTCCAAACCTCCATCCATTCAATGTGACATAGTTAATACCACCCCATATCTGTCACTTCTGCATAGCCTCCAGCCTGATTCCCCATCTCCAGTTTTACCCTTAAGATTTGCACAGATTAGGGACAATTATGTCTTCTCCAAAGTCTTCAATAGCTTCCTTTTCCCTACCCTAAAATAAAACCTAGACTTTAAATTTGCTTCCAGGGCTATGCACTCCCCTGCCCCAGCCCTCCTTCCCTCCAGGGCCTCTGTAACACTCCTTCAAAAGGTCTTGTATATGGGAAATTGAATACTAAATGGATACTTTAAAAAGTATTTAAGAAATGGAGCAGAATGCCTTATTTTATATATTTTCATGAGAAAGAAGCAATATAGATTAATAACAATAAAATGCATTTCAAATGAATGCCATTTAAATTCACTATTTTGCCTAAGATTAGATTTCAAGAGTGAGATTAAAGAGTAGTGTGATATAGTAAAGAGGTAAAACCCTGAGTCATAGATCAAAGGAAAGTTGTAGTCAAGTAAAAGTGTTTAGAAACCAAAACCAGGGAGAGCGGCTAGTGGCAAAAGCCTGGACAGGGGAGGGCTAAGATAAAATAAGGGAAAATTAGCATTTCAGTATGTGACCACCCCACAGAACAGACTTGAAAGTTGTTGCCTGTTTTTGGTGCTGAGGATTGAACTCAGGGTCTTGAATGTTAAGCATATGCTCTGCCACTGAGCTGTACCCTCCAAACTTTAGTTTTTTTGAGATACAATCTTGCCAATATTGCCCAGGTTGGATTTGGACTCCTGGGCTCAATCTTCCTACTTCAGCCTCCTGAGTAGCTGGAACTAGTAGCTGGAAGTAAGTGTCACTACTGTGAGCGACTTGAAAGTATCAATACTGCAAATTTCACTGAATGTCATCTTGAAAATCAGGCACAGAAAACTGCTGCCTTGAGCACCAAGGAATCTGTAAGACTTAGGTAAAGACTGAAGGCAGCCCTACCGTCAAGTATCCCTGAGACCTAAAACCAGAAGTAGTAGAGGTTCATTATCTGAGATTCACACTTGTTTTTCTTTGTAACAGTCAAAAAGCCACCTACAGGTAATACAAAAATATATAAGAAGGCAGAATTTTTTGTGATCACAAGAGGGCATACTTATTTCCCTTAAATTTCCTTTTACCAAAGCCCTAAAGTTGCAGTTCTTAACCTTTTGATGGTTTTGACAATTTGATGCTAGCAAATGGACCAACTTCCTAGAAAATGCAAGTACAGGGCGTGGTGGCACATGCGTGTAATCTCAGCACTCAGGAGGCTGAGGTAGGAGGATTGTTGCGAGTTCAAGGTCAGCCTGAACCACATAGCAAGACCCTGTCTCAAAAAGACAAAAAAATACAAGTACACATGCTATTTTACATACAATATCAAAAGATTTTTAAAACATTCAAACCCATCCATGGACCGTCTAAATGTGCCACTTACATAGTAGCTACTTGGTAAACCTAGCAACTCTAAATTGCTAATAGTTCCCATCTCAGAAAGTTCTATTGGATAGTACTGCTCTTGAATTTTATTGATCTCAGGTTAAAAACCTCCAGACCCAAGTGAACACTTATAGATAAAACTGATGGCCTATAATCCTACTCCCAAATTCGAGTTATTCTATCTTCTTTTTTTCTGTTTTTGAGACAGGATCTCACTATGCAGTTCAGGCTGGCCTTGAGCACTTTGTAGCCCAGGCTGGTCTCAAACTCACAATGATCCTCCTGCCTCAGCCTCCCGAGTGCTGGGATTATAGGTGTGCGCCACCACGCCCAGCTCTATCTTCAAGAGGAATACTTTCAGTTATTTTGAATAAGCTGGTATGATAGTTAACTGATTGTGTCAACTCGAGTAAGAAACACCCAACTAAATTGTATCATCATAGTTCTAGGTGTGGCTGAAGGGATTTGCAAAAGACAGAAAACCCACTCTGGGTGTGAGTAACACCAACCAACAGGCTTGTAGCCTGCAAGGAGTAAAAGAGAAATGAAGAAGGAAGCCTTACTTCTGTTACTTTGGAGGAGATCCAGTCTTCATCTTCACCCTGGTCTTTATCTCCTGCTTTCCCGTGCAGATACTTCAGCCTTCCATCACAGACCCTTTGGTTTCCCGACACAGTTTTACATGGGACACTAGAGTGAGCTCCAGGTCTTTGACTGGATCCTTTGGATTGCCAAGGCACAGAGAGCCCTTTTGTATTTTCCAGATCTGACTCTTGGGGCAGCCATTATAAGCTGCTCTTGTAAATTTTTATATATTTGTATTGCTAGCATTGAATATTTCTCTAGAAAACATTGACTGATACACTTGGAAAGTTTATCCACCTTTAAGTACCCATTAATAGCCTAAAATAAAAGGACCTTAGATAACAAAAGATTAATACCTCATTCTTCCCATCTCAAGGTATGTGTATTTCATAAGCGTTCTTACACCACATTATGGTGATACAGTTTAGTTGGGTGTTTCATTTTTTTTGGTTGGGTGTTTCTTACTCAAGATGACACAATCAGTGAACTATCATACTGAACATATTTCTGTTCCATTTCTTTATGTCCTGTCTATATGCAGAAGATAGAATAGCTGGCCTTTTAATTTTAATTATTTGTGCTGAGGATTGAACCCAGGGCTTCTCATATAAAATGTGTGCGTGCACACGTGTGTGTGTGTGTGTGTGTGTGTGTGTGTGTGTTGTAGGTAAGGCTTCATCAACTTGCTGTACATTATTAACATCAAGTAAAGCCAGGTACCTGGTGCACACTTGTAATCCCAAGCTACTCAGGTGGCTGAAGCGGAGACCAAGCTGGGAAATTCTGCAGAACTTGGTCTCAAAACAAAATTTTGGTATTTACTGGCACGTATGTCCTATGCATCTTGTACAACTCTTATCTCATTTAATCCTCATCCCATATTTTGAAGTGGGTAGAATATTACTCTCTTAGAACAGAAAAGGATTTTATTATTTATTTATTTATTTATTTATCTATTTATTTATTTTGGTACCGGGAATCAAACTCATGACTTTGTGCTTGCCAGGCACGTGCTAGGCCACTGAGCTACATCCCCGGCCCCAGAAAAGGTTTTATTATTTATTTATTTATTTTTTTTTTTTTGGTTTTTCTCCGGTACCGGGAACCGAACTCACGACCTTGCGCTTGCCAGGGAGGCGCTTTTGCCACTGAGCTAAATCCCCAGCCCCCCAGAAAAGGTTTTAGAGGAAACAAATTTTTAATAAATTAAATAAATTGCCTGAGATCACACAGTAAATGCCAGAGAAGTGGTGTCGAGATTATAATCCATAGTTGCCATAAACAGGAATGTCTAAAAACATAAAAATGATTTTAGGAGCCTCAAGTCATAAGTCTGAACAAGGTTTTCCTGAAAAGGACCTATACCTGCCCATGTGTTACATGGTAGCCTTAAAAAGACAGTCGTGTGACAATTTAACTGACATGTTCACCAATTTTGTGTTTGAGAATCCAACAGTATATAAGCATGTGTTCAATAAACAGTTACTGTTTGGGCTGACTTGCTCCTCTGAAGCTTTCACCTGGTGAGCCACTGACAGTGGTAGAGGGAATGGAGCATCTAAGCCTAGCATGGCGCCAGCTCTCCAGGGTTTCCCTTTGCCCTGATGACGGAATTCACACTGGGCAGGTGGCTCCTCACAGGGCGGAGCTGAAGACCGCGTCTGGAGAACCGCAGGTGCCACCGGACGTCTTCGGCAGGCTGAGAACCCGGTGTGTAATTGGAAGCCGCAGGCGCTGGCCGGCCCGGCTGCTCCTGTTGTAAACCCAGCCACCGGAAGCGAGATCCCAGTCCAGCTGGGCACTCAGACAAACCCTTACCCTGCTGCCTCGGCGCCGCTCGGGGACTTTGGACACTCTGTTGGGCTCCGCCGCCCGCAATACTCGCGCAAGCGCAGTAGCCGGGTCCTGCCACTACTACAATTCCCTGCGGTCTCGCGGCTGAAGGCTGCAGCTTTCCCAAGCGGCTAAGACCACTTGAAGAAAGAACCTCTTAAGGGGCTGGGGACTTAGCTCAGCGGCCAAGTGCTCGCCTGACAAGCGCAATGTCGTAAGTTCGATTCCCGGTACCGGAAGAAAAACAAAGATTTTTTTTTAAAAAAAGAAAGAATTTCGTGGGAGAGCTTATAAACAATTCAGACTTTTGGGCCCCGCTCCAACACTGATGCAGCTTGACTTTAGATCAAGCGTAGCTCATTTTGACTAACCTTGCTGGGGAAATCTGATTCAGGTCGTCCACCACTCTATACCTGCTTCTGTTACCTCTTCCACCTAGCTACCCGCCCCCCCAGGAGGTCGCAGGATTCCCCCTGAAACCAGCCTTTCGTCTCCGACTGGCCTCTGCCTTGTCTCGCCTCCGCACAAAAACTTCGTCTTCTCGTCTGTCGAGGCGAGTCTGTGCTGACACTTGATCCAATGGCACGAGAATACTCAAAACGTAACCCGGAAGTTGGTCTCGCGCCGACGGTATTGGACTGTGACGCCTAATGAGTGCGCCGAAACTTCCGGCCTAATAGCTAAGGGCAGAGTCTTGCGTGGTCCGAGACCCGGGAATAAGGGGCTGCAGTGGGGGCCGACTGAGGCCAAAGCTCCGAGCTAGGGTCTTCCGCTAGGGTCTGGAGCGCTGGACCGCTTGGCTCCTGCTGAAGCAGTCTATCCTGGCACGGGGTCCTGGGCTCCTCCAAAAGAGGGCGCAGCTGGTTTCCGGGCTAAGGCGCTCTGCTGCATGGCAATGGCGGCTTTCCCGGGCTCTCAGGAGCGGGAAGGGCTCCTTATAGTGAAACTCGAGGAGGACTGCGCCTGGACCCAGGAGCTGCCTCCCCGTGACCCTGGGCCCAGCCCCGAGGCCTCCCATCTGCGCTTCAGGAGGTTCCGCTTCCAAGAGGCCGCTGGTCCCCGGGAAGCCCTCTGCCGGCTCCAGGAGCTTTGCCATGGGTGGCTACGGCCTGAGATGCGCACCAAGGAGCAGATCCTGGAGCTACTGGTGCTGGAGCAGTTCTTGACCATCCTGCCCCAAGAGATCCAGAGCAGGGTGCAGGAACTACATCCGGAGAGCGGCGAAGAAGCAGTGACCCTTGTAGAGGATATGCAGAGAGAGCTTGGGAGACTGAGGCAACAGGTGGGCGAGAGAAAGAACTGTGTTGTCGCTGTTTGGCTTCGCGGTTTGCAACATGATGCTGGCCTAGTTCTCCCGGTAGAATTTACTTGGTTGCGCTGAGTAGCTCTGACATGGGGAAGAGGGCTTTTTATGGCTTAATGTGGAACATTCACACTCCAGATTTCCCCCTTATGAACAGAGTGAGCCTTGAATAGTGAGTGCCCCGCTTCCACGTGGAGGCAGTGCTTCAGCAATAGTTGTTAACCCTGTAGTTAACAACTGCTTCAAATGATCTCACCACTGCTTACTACCTTTATGACTCTGGTCAAGTTATTTGCTCTCTTTGGGCCTCAGTTTTCCCACCAGTACAATGAGGATAATAAAGTACCTTTGGGGGGCTATTGTGAAGATTAGAGGGAGAACAGCATGCAAAGTTTTGATGATTCTACTGGTTTATAATTATGCGATACATGTTCTTATCATGTTAAGGTCAGCAGTGTAGTCTCATCTGTGAAGCTAGATCTTGGTTAAATTTTGAAAAACAACTTAGTACTGAGACTCTACAGGTCACTGGCCCTAATAGGGCACCAAGGTTTAATTTATTCGGTAGTGAGGAATAGAAGCATCTGGAAAAAGATGAAAGAGAACAAAAGTAAGGTATATTAAAAGTGTGTGGGGAAGATGTGCATTGGGAGTGGACCTGCTCCCTAACCATTCTCCTCCATTTTTACTGACTGTATACAGGACCAAAAAAGCCTTTAGTGTAAACCATCTTTCTCTTGCTCAAACGGATCTTTTGTGGTTTTTCTGTTGAAGGCTTGCTCTTAGAATCCTATACTAATTTCCCTTTCTATTGGCTCCATTGTGATGATAAGTGATGTGGGTTGGTCCTCAGGTCACAAACCAAGGGCGGGGAACAGAAGTGCTTTTGGAGGAGCCTTTGCCTCTGGAAACAGCAGGAGAGTCACCGAGCTTCAAGCTGGAGCCTGTGGAGACTGAGCGAAGTCCTGGCCCCAGGCTGCAGGAGCTGCTAGGCCCCAGCCCCCAAAGGGACCCCCAGGCTGTAAAGGACAGGGGTGAGGAACAGTTATCCGGGCAGGTGGGAGGGAGGAGGGGCTTTGGGGTTGCCCCAACACTAAGGATGTAGCACCTCTGCCAAGGGAAAGGAATCAAGTTGAAGTTGTCAGATGTGGCCTGAAAGACCACATGTGTGGGTTCTGCTCTTAGTAGGAGAGATTTATTTGTATGCAAAAAAGGAGATTTAGAGCTAGGTGAACAATGAGGGGTTTGGAGTGCTGCTAACTCCGGTGGAAGACTGCTCCCATTCCTTTACTCTGACCCCATCATTTTGGATAATACTTACTACTTTATTCTGCCTGTTACTGGTCTTTGTTTAATGTCAATTATAAAAGCAGAAACAGAGTTTTGGGGAATATATACTGTGTTGTAATAATTTACGGGTTACCAAGATTTAGGAATGCGGGTTACCAAGATTTAGGAATGCCATTCTCATTATGATTTCTGTCACCTTCAGCGTTATCTGCTCCCTGGCTTTCTCTCTTTCCTCCTGAAGGGAATATGGAAGACAAGGAAATGACTGGGTCCCAGGTGATGTGGAAGGTCCCATTATCTCCCCCTGCGAGGACACTCCTTCCTCCCCTGGAGTCTTGCTTTGGGGATGGGCTGGGGCAGTTGTGGCACTTGGAGGATCCTTTCCCCCAACCAAATGTCCCCCTCCTTATTGGTGTCCATCCATCATTTGTAGGTCTGGGATCACTTTTTCCCATGACATATGTCCTTGGTGCCCCCGGGCTTTTGCTTCTTCTTCCTGCAACTCTGCTTGAATTATTTTTGGTGCATCTGAGGCTAAAGGAGATCTTTTGCTGTTTCAGTTGCCTGAGAGCTTAGAGGACATGGCAATGTACATCTCCCAGGAGGAGTGGGGGCATCAGGATCCTAGTAAGAGAGCCCTCTCCAGGGACACGGTGCAAGAGAGTTATGAGACTGTGGACTCACTAGGTAAGACTTCTTTTGTAGGGTTGATGACTGCAGTATTCTGACAAGGATCCTGTTTCTTGGATACCTATATCTCAGACTTAAGTTCTGTAAAGCCTCCTATGTAAAGTTCCACACTAGGGTCAGTTAAACATCTGCCATTGGATTTAGGTGGAGGGTATATAGGTATTTATTATACAATGCCCTCTATTAAATGAAAAGTCTCATTTAAAAAATGGGGGGAAGTCCTAAGATATTGTATACATCATGACTAGCTACTTTGACACACATAATAGCAGAAAATCATACCACTTTGTTTTCATCCATCAGGTTTGTGTAAAGAAAATCAAGCTATGAACTCATTTGTACTAATTCTGTAAATGGGTTACTGTTACTTTTGTTTCCCTTTACTGGAACCATTCCAGGTTTTCCATCACCTTTCCACTGTTGAATTGTGCAAAGTTGAACAAAACGATTCCTAACTGGGAAGAAAAGATCAGATTATAATTTTTTGGAACTGAATGTATGTTTGAGTCCATGTTTGCTGAAGGTAGAGGGAGGTTTTTGTTTTTCTCTCTAGCATACATAGAAATGGCATATCTGGGTTTTAAGCTCATAGTCCTAACAGTCCAAAGTCTTTTTCTAATTGTCCATTGATGTTTTCTTGTGCTAGAGTTATCAGTCAAATATAGCTCTATTTTATATGTAAGAGTCAAAGCTGTTTTAATATATTAATCTAATTCATCAACGAACTGACTATTCTAATCATATACTTTGTTTTAATTACAAAAATATAGATTTGGGGGCTGGGGATTTAGCTCAGTAGCACAGCGCCTGCCTGGCAAGCATGATGTCATGAGTTTGATTCCCAATACTGGAAAAAAACCAAAACCAAAAAGAAAACACCAAAAATATAGATTCATTTTGCAAAAAAAAAATGCTAAATACTTTGAAAGTATTTTTTTTTTTTTAAATCCATAGTTTCTCTCCCCTAATATTGTTTTCTAGATGTAACACTGGGAATAGTTTAATGTATATTCCCAGTAATTGCTGCCAGATTTATCAGAGCATTCTGTGTCTTACCTGTTGAGAGTAGGGATTAAGACCATTCTTGTTTCTTCCACCTAGTAGAGGAGAGTGCTGATACAGCAATCTGTTTCTTTCATCATTTTGAACAGAGCCTCACATGCCCAGTCAGGAGGCCCTAAGCACCCAGGTTGAACAAGGAGAGAAGCCATGGGATCCCAATATCCAGAATTGTAAGGAGGGTGTGAGCCCCAGAAGCCCAGCTCCAGGTAAGGATGAACAGAAGTAGCTGCTCAGCAAGGTGTCCCATGTTAAACATGAGGCTTTTAAGGGGTTAACTGTAGGGCCAGTCTACCATTGTTCCTATGGTAGTACATTGCTTCTTGTGTCTCAACTGACCATTCCCCATCCCAGTGAGGCAACTGTGGAACTCAGGATACAAACTTTGAGGAGGTACTCACTCTTGGGCTCACTTGTCCTGTCTTGGTTTCAGCCCTGAGTTACATCTCATCCAATCCTGAAGGGCATCAGCCAGAGGCCTAATTGGAAAGGTTTGTTGAGGCCTAACAAAGAACTTCCCACAATGCTGTGATTTCTCCCTTTCTTTCTCTGTCTCTTTTTCTCTTTCTCTCCTTCCTTTTTTCTTTCTTCTTCTCTTTTTTCTTTCTTTCTTACAGAGTCTCACTGTGTACCGTAATAGGCTGGCCTGGAACTTGCAACTATTCTACCTCAGCCTCCCAAGTTACAGGGGTGAGCCACTACATCTGGCTTTTGGGCTCTGATTCCTTGAACAGTAGCCCCACCCCTTGTTGAGATGCCTGTTTGGGGTACTCTATACCTAGGAAGAGAATAGGAAACTGGGGCCCCTTTGGGACCTCTGACCTGATTGACATAGCAGGAATATGGGGTTATGTTCTCTTCCAGTGTAGAAATAATGTAGAGGTTTGGCTTTTTTCTCTACCAGGGGAAGAGAAATTTGACAACCAAGAAGGAGATGTTCAATCTGTTTCCCCTGAGAACACTCACCCTCAGGTGCTGCTCCCTGGCCCGGCCAGAGGGGAGGTGCCCTGGAGTCCTGAGCAGGGCCGGCCTCGTGACAGGGCAGAAGGGCATTGGGAACCACCTCCAGAAGATGAAATGGAGCAGTCCTTAGCAGGAGCTATAAGTTGCAGAGAACTGGGGCCACCAAAGGAACTACAGCCAAAAAAACTTCATTTATGTCCTTTGTGTGGCAAAAATTTCTCTAATAACTCAAATCTAATTAGACATCAGAGAATACATGCAGCAGAAAGACTGTGTATGGGTGTGGAGTGCAGTGAAATCTTTAGTGGGCACCCACATTTTCTCTCACTACATAGAGCACATCTGGGAGAGGAGGCCCATAAGTGCCTAGAATGTGGGAAATGCTTCAGTCAAAATACCCATCTGACTCGCCATCAGCGCACCCACACAGGTGAGAAGCCCTATCAGTGCAATGTGTGTGGAAAAAGCTTCTCTTGCAACTCCAACCTCCATAGGCACCAGAGGACACACACTGGGGAGAAGCCCTACAAGTGCTCCGAGTGTGGGGAGATCTTTTCTCATAGCTCCAACCTTCTTCGACACCAGAGGATCCATACAGGAGAGAGGCCCTATAAGTGTGCTGAGTGTGGGAAAAGTTTCTCTCGGAGTTCTCACCTTGTCATTCATGAAAGAACCCATGAGAGAGAGAGGCTTGACCCCTTCTCTGAGAATGGGGAGGCCATGAGTGATGGTACCTCCTTTCTTACAAGCCAAGGAACCCGCAGAGCAGAAAAGAAACTCTTTGAATGTTCAACTTGTGGGAAAACCTTCCGGCAGGGCATGCACCTCACCAGACATCAGAGAACGCACACAGGAGAGAAACCATATAAATGTACCCTTTGTGGAGAAAACTTCTCTCATAGATCCAACTTAATCAGGCACCAGAGAATTCACACAGGAGAAAAACCCTATACATGTCACGAATGTGGAGACAGTTTCTCTCACAGCTCCAATCGGATTCGTCACCTGAGAACCCATACTGGAGAGAGACCTTATAAATGTTCTGAATGTGGAGAAAGCTTCTCTCGGAGTTCACGCCTTATGAGTCATCAGAGAACTCACACGGGTTAGAAATAATGGAATTTCTCTTTGCCCCTGGTGGCATATAGAAGGTTGTCAAGAGCTGGCTGGCATTGCTTGACCAAATGACCTCTGTTTTCCAAGAGGAAATGGGGGCTCATTTTGAGGGTAATGCAGAGGCAGCAAAGGATTGCTGTAAAACTAAAGAGTTGTTTGCAATAGTAAAATCTGATGTGACCTGCTCTGGGACATTTTTATTTAATCCATCCTGTCCCAACGTATACCCACTTTCTTGATGTGTTTAACCAGCATGTAGTTTGGGTGCCTTACTATGTAATGCTTATTCCAACAACTTTGGGAATTCATGTGATCTTTTACTCCTTATTCACTTGGGACTGCAGGAGCATTGAGGCTCCTAAGGCCCTTGAGACCAAAGAAGAGGGGCCAGATTTCCTGAGAAACCAGCATAGAAGTCAACAAGACTGGTTGTAAATTGTAGCCCTAACAGGTCAGCCATGATAACATCCCTCAGTGGTCTGGCAGGAGTGCCCATTGGTAAACCACATAATGTATGACCTCAAACAAAAGAAAATGGAGGTGTAGGGGAAATTTAAGGAAGAACTTGCAGGTGAGTCTAGAAGTTGGCAGCTGAAATGAGTGTGTAATCAATCTATCCTTTGGACAGATTGAGGCTTTCTTCTGTATTGAAAAAAGATACCCAGAGCTCTGAAGCCTTGTTCCCAGGTAGAGGGTTCCTTGAAAGATGGATTCCCTAGGAAACACTGAAAATGTAGATCCTAGGGAAATTAGGGATTATGTCTGTCCCTGTTGACAATGTTTGGATGGTAATAAATATCTTCAGGAAACAAAGTATGTGGATCTTTATCTTAATCCCATGTTGACCTGTCTTCTATCTCAGAGGAACTTGCTTTCTCTTTGTGGACTTTTGGGTTAGTCAAGAAGGTTCTGACAAAGGTGGCCGCAGATAGCCTCAGGTGGTTTGTGGGCTTGATGGGCTCTAGGCTGGACCTCCCATGTGCTAACCAAGAGTCAAGCTGAATGAAGGCTTGGGGTGATGTCATAAAGTCTCTGAAAGTTGTTCTTTCCCTCTGTGTTGTACAGCAGTAAAAATGTTTTTGATTCTTTGTTTAGAAAGAAAGAATCTTACAATTCTTAGAAAGAATCTTATATTCTTTATGAGGTAGCTGAAGCAGATTAAGCTTTTTCAAATGATATTTTGGTCTTGCACCTGGTTTCCAGGAAAGAAGCTAAGATGGTCTTGCTGTAACTGAGTCATTGATCATTAATAGTGGGGAGGTAAAGGGGAGGGAAAAATTATTATAAGAAAGCATTATATTTTAGAATAAGGAGTCAGAAGAGGTATTTTCTGTATCTATAAGAAGGATGTAGAACTACCAGGAGATATTCTAGGGGTGGAAGTCTGACGCCAGGAAAACATCTCAGGATATGGTCATGGAGGAAGATATCTGACCAGCTATTAACAATCCATTAGCAACAGGCTATCAAATAAAGCAATTTTAAGTGATGGAAACAATCCTGTGTCCTTTTTCTTTTTTTTTTTTTTTTTTCCAGTACTGGGAATCCAACTCACAACCTGCTTGCCAGGCAGGCTCTGTGCCGCTGAGCTAAATCCCTAGCCCCTCTTTTTCTTTTTAGTCTTACCTCCTCCTACAGTTTATTATTGTGAGTTTTTTGAAGCCAATTTTTAAAAATCTATTTTTCACTTCTTTACTAATTTTGTTCACAGGACAGCAATAGTACTGTGGGGATTGAGAAGAAGGGAAGGTGTTGAGAATTGGATGAATGTAGGATCTCTAGTGATAGGAACAGAGCAGGCCTAATGTGACTGTTGATGCCATGAGTTGGGTGGAATGGTATGAAGTAGTTTACCCCGTTTATTAATCTCATCACAGCCCCTCTCTACCCAGTATCACTACCCATTCAGATCTTGTCATGTGGTCTAGCTAGTGTTGCCCTGCTTGGAACCTGAAGGTAGAACAATAAAGATTCCCCTAGGTATTTACTCCAGGGACTACAAAGGCTTTCCAGTGGGATCCTTGGCCCAGTCATCAATGTAGCTCCATGCTTCTAGCAAACTTCATATGCATAGCTGTATGAGACGTCATACAAAATACTTCACATATAACAGCAGCATGATGAATAGAGAGTATTCAGACCATAAAAATATTCAAGTAAGTATTTCAGTTAATGTTAATTCTCTTAATTTATCACTAGGCCATACCTTGTTTGCTTCAAAACATTTAATCAAAAATCTGGTGGCTCACACTATCCAAACTTGCTCCAGTGGGAGGCGGGTAGAGAATGAACAAGTAGAGTATCTTTCTGTAATCCAGGGGTATGTTTTGGATGATAGGGAACTCTGTTCTCAGTCCATACCTTTTACCTAGGCAGGAAGGCCCATTCTTAGAACACAGATGTTAGCTTCTTCCAAGGTGAAGCTTCCTGGTTGGGTGCAGCTTAAGTTTAGGTATCCTGCCTCAGCAACCAGAAGATTGGGTTGCCTAAGTTTCTCAGGCATGACCAAAACAAAAGCCAGCCAGTGGCCTTGCAGGTGTGCCCAGGGACTAGGGTCCTGAAGGACTGCTGCTGTGTTTTGGCCCCCTCCTTTCCTCTTCTCCTTGGGAGATGGCTGGTAGAGGCCTCCTTATACCCCACCAGAGCCTCAAGTGCCTGCCTGTAGGCAGCTGACCGCTCCTGATGTGGGTATATAGTTGCGGGTCCTTTGGCCTCCACCCCAATGGGAAGCGGGAAACCTGAGCATCATGACTACACTACTCAAGATGCTCCTTCTGATCCTCATAATCCATGGGAGACAAGTGAGCCCAGAGCCACAGTAGGGTATACCTGAAGAAGCCCATGAGGGTCCTAAGCAGGGGAGCCTGGAGAAGGGGACAAGAGAAGAAGGAAGACTGGAGGCAAGTATAGTCATCAAGACTGGTGAGGGGACTAGTTCAGGGCAGGGGGGAATAAGGAGGGGGGATATGTAGGAGTAGAAACTAGGATATTCTGTCAGCCCAGACCAATTCTAAAACCAAGAGGTTCCCCCAGTCACTGATGATCCTGCCCTCACCTGTCTGCTGCTGTTCTCTGCCAGACACCCCTAAGGCAACCATCTAGAGAATCTTGTACCTTCCCCCAGATGTAGACACACATACAAGGTCCTGTGTGCATGCTCCCCAAACCTTGAGGCATCCCAGGCCTTCAGATACTTGCCCTGCTACTCAATAATCCTTAAACATTGTCTATATACTTTAGCACTGGTCCCAAGGCATTCACTGGTGGCTTGTTTCTATTACTATTCAGTTCTGAGTCTCCAAAACAGCTTAGTAACAATGACATCTAGTTTCCAGAATCCATGAGTGCAGTATTTCTGAAAATGGGTGTAACTAATTCTCCATCATTCACCCTAGGAAGTTATTACTACTGAAAAAGTATAATGATGGTAAGAGCCCAATTAGAAGGAACTAGAGCTGACCAGTGTCCTCAGCTTGTTCCACAATTCACTCTATCTCTGGCTTGAAAAGTGTCTAAGGAGCGGGGGAAAAGCTTGGGATAATTACTACCCTCAGTTATTGTCATTCTGGGGGAAAAAAAAGTCAAGCTGTTGAATATTATAGCTCCCCCAGCTTCCTGTAGGCTGCACACTTAACCAAGGAAGCATACAGCAGGTCTAAATTAAATGTAAAAATGGTACTCAATGGAAATGTTAACTTTTTTGGGTCATAAAACTAAGACAGTGGTCCAGTGTTTGTCTTACATACACAAGAACCTAGAGTCATTCCCCACTACTACAAAAAAGTGGGCGATTGTTATTAGGATAAACACACAAAACAATCCTATATATGCAACAAATATTAACTTATTAATATCAAAGCATAAAGCACATTAATATAGTAAGGTCTAAAATTTTATTTAGTTTTCCAATTTAAAAAATATGTATCAAAGGGCTGAGACTATATCATTGTCAATAGGACTGGATGTTTTTATAAGATATTTAATAATTAGTATATGTCACTTCCATAATAAATGGATAACCTACACTAAGGAGGTGATAACAATAAAGCAAAGTGTGTCAACATTAAATTAAAAACAAAAAGCTGGGCATGGTAGTGAGCACCTGTAACCCAGTACTCTGGGAGGCTAAGGTAGGAAGATTATAAATTCAAGCCCAACCTGGGCAACCCAGCAAGATTCTGTCTAAAAAAAAAAGACCTGGGAATGTAGCTCAGTGCAAAGGCCCTGGTTTCGATCAATCCCCACTTCTCACTCCACACACAAAAAAATGAAATCAAATATATCCTTATCTCCTTAAAGTTAACTAGAATTAGCATACAGCTTCATTTATGCTATAAATACATTAGGTGTGTATATGTCCACGCATGCACACTGGGGATGTAATATAGGTTCTCATGCATGCTAAGCATGTCCTCTACTACTGAACTACAGAGTAGAATTTAATACTTTTTATAGCCATTCCACCTTAGGTAATCTAAGATCTAGGACAGTAATCCCTCATTTTTCAGATCTTTGTCTGATACCCTTTTTAGATCTTTTGTCTTAAATCGAAAAAAAAAGAGCTGATATATTCATACATTTGAAAACAATTTAGCCAGGCGTGGTGGCACATGCCTGTAATCCCAGCACTTGGGAGGCTGAGGCAGGAGGATCGTTCTGAGTTCAAGACTATTCTGGGCTACAAAGTGAGCTCAAGGCCAGCCTGAACTGCATAGAGAGACCCTGTCTCAAAAAGACAAAAAACATATATAATATTTTCAAACTATTTTATCACCAAATATGCAAAATCATGTCAGTTGATAAAAACAATGAAAATTCACAGTAGACCTACCTCATATATAACTGCAGAAATCTTTAAACACAAAATCTAATTACTAGAGCCAGAAGTTGAAGTGATATTTAAGGTATCTTTAAAATTATGAGGCCTAGATTTCAGAAAGTTATCAATTCTTGAGTGGATCTTACTTTGGAACAGTTTCGTAACTATTTCCTGTTGCATCTCTTTCAATGTGAAATGGAACCTTTGAAAGTCAGGTGTAGATTCCATAAGGTCAAGAAGGTAGTCCAATCTCTCTCTTACAGCAGATAATTTAAATTCAGCAGTCTGTTTCTCAGCTCCTCCGCCTTTTTGAACAACTTCCTTTGTAATCTCACCTTTTGTTTTTGGGAGACAACCCTCTTCATCACTTCCATTTAACCACACCCTACCATCCTGCAGCTTGTCTTCTAATTCTTGACATGTTTCAAGAATTTCTCTATAATCTCCAACTTCTAAGCCTTGAACATGAGTTGCCCCCCCCCCCACCAAGAATTGAATTCACGACCTCATGCTTGCCAGGCAAGCAGTGTGCCACTGAGCTAAATCCCCAGCCCCATAAGCCTTGAAGATCATAGGTTCCTTTTTGAAATGAAGATTTTCCCATGCATTTGCTATGGTTATTTGTTTTACTTCATCCCAACTTCTTGTCCAGTTAAAAATTGCACTTTTCACATTGAAGATTTTAATCTTGGAAACTTGTTTTTCTTCTTTATCTTATTCATTATCACTTTCTTCAAAAATTGCAAGACTCCCTTCAAGTTGTTTCCACCTATAAAGTCGTTAGCAGCTTAAAATCACACCTTGGTTCATTGGCCAAATCAAAGTTGAAGTGTTAAGAGGAAGAACATGCATTTTATTCGATCATCCTTACTAGTTAGTGATTTAGTAGAAGGATGAGCTGGGGAATTGTCCAGAAGTAATAATGTGCTAACATCCTCTTCATGGAATCTTAGAACACTAAGTTGAAAATGCCGGACCTCAGGAACAAAGTTTTGAAAGAACCATTCTGAAAACAATTCTCTGGTGAACCAAATGTCTTTACCAGGTTTATATATCACAGGTAATATACTTGTGTCTTCTTTCACACTTTTGGGAAGCTCTGATTTTCCAGTAATTACTGATTTTAATTTGAGTTTCATCTGCATTTGCACATAGAAGGGGAGATAACTGTTCTTTGTTTATTTTCCTCCCTGGCAGGCATGTATCTTTTCTATTTGCCTGAGTGTTTTCTGGCACTGACTTCCAAAAGAGGTCAGTCTCATCCCCACTGTACAGCTGAGCTAGATGCAATTTCTCCTCTTTGATTATCATAGACAGTTTTTGTCTAAATGGTTCATTTTTGTGTGTTTTTTGTCTTTTTTTTTTTTTTGTCTTTTTGAGATAGGGTCTCGCTATGTAGTTCAGGCTGGCCTTGAGCTCACTTTGTAGTCCAGGCTGGTCTTGAACTCTCAGTGATCCTCCTGCCTCAGCCTCCTGTGTGCTGGGGTTACAGGCATGCGCCACTATGCCCAGTGAATGGTTCGATTTTTGAAGCTGAACTTGGGACTTTTTCTACACATACTTTTTGGTTTCCAATTGCGTGCCCATTTCAAAATCTAAAAAGCCAATCAGTGCTAGCTTTAAAATCTGTTCACCCAAAACACTGTGTGAATCTCTCTGCAGCAGCCTGAAGCTCCACACCTCTAACAAGGACACCAGCTGAGTGTTTCTGTTGGTACCACATGTAGACTGCATCACCAACATCTCTATATTTGGCTCCTATTGTCCTCTTTGTCTTCTCAGCTCCTATTAATGGCATGTCCTGCTTCAGCACAAAGTCCAAAATCAATTTCTTATTCTTTTTAATGTCATAAAATGTTGATTTACTGATTCCAAATTCATCCATTACACTTTTAAGAGATCATTCAGCTTCAATCCTACTTAGAACCTTCATTTTCTCCTCCAAATTCAGTGTTGTATATTTCCCTTTCTTACTCATACTGAATTTGATTTCAAACAACCAATAGGAAAAAAGAGAAAAGTCTTACTGAACTGGAAAAAAATTAAAAACAATAAAAGCTACCTTAAAGCCTCAGAAGGCACAGGCATTTTTAGTGGAGGGTAATGGCCTGAAAGATAAGAGCTGATGTTTGAAGTGCTAGTGTAGAGGTAAAGGGCCTATGTACTCAGCTGCTGCTGCCAAAGTCCTGCCTGGCTGTTGCTACTGCTAAGATACAGGAAATCAGTTCTCAGAACCCCACTACTTTCCGTGGACAGATATAGCTGCCCCAATGCCCACAAAAACAGACCCTGGTGGAATTAAAAAAAAAAAAAAAAAAGTGATGCTGGAAAAAAAGGAGTGTGGAAAAACTCTAAAGCTGTAACAGTTACCCTGTATAGTAGAAATTCAGTGTGGCTTCTCCCCTTCCAAATAACCTGATTTTAACTCCTTGTCAGAAAAGAAAACAGTGCTCCTGTTGTTCCATACATAGCATTCACTGGGGAACAATTCACCTACTTGGACAGACTGTTAAGTCTCAAGTATTTTGACCCAAATAACTGGAAAACTGAAGTTGGGAACAGCTTGTGTAGAATCTTTAGGTGAAGGAAGATTAGTAAGTTTTGTTGCACACAGGAATGAAATCCAACTTTTATTGCATTCAATATGCAGTCTCAAACACTGAGCTTTAAACTTGAGTGTCTCTTATGTTGCCAAAGTAATGTGCAAATATGTAAATGATTTATTAATGGCACTTTTCCACTCATATCTTCTCCCTTTTGTATATCTGATAAATTCTCAAGGACTACTTTTCACTAAAATTGTTCTGTATTTAGGATATTATCAAGTTTCAGAATCATGGCAATTCCTTAGCGATAAGCTTCAAAGTTTTACAAATATTTTAATACAGTAAAAAAAATCTGTCCTTTCATTTGTTTTCCTAAATTTACAGCAGGATTCTAAATACCATACTTTTATTCTTGAGACTTTGGTTTCTCTTAGATTTTAAATCTCTTAGATTTTACTTAATTTGAACCAAGACTCAACTGCCTGAAAAAATTCAAAGCTTCGTTTATTCTATTCATGTTTCTGTTCAATTGTTTCCATTAAACCCTTTTGCTGGCAAACTCTTCTGTAGTTTTGTACCCTCAAATATTTTGTTCAGGTCCTGCTGGTGCTGCCCAAAGCCACTCCAGGTCTTTAGAAGTATACTACTCTGATTTCATGGTTTTCTTTTCAGACACACAATTTCAGGGGAAGAAACAACAACTGGCACTTTTATCCATTCCAGGTGCTATGAAGAAAGAAAAATATGTCAGAGGAAAGAGGAAAATGATTGGTATCTCAGTTAATTCTTCTCCTTTAGGTCAGAGCCTGACTGTCCCATTCATTTCCCAACTACAGTACATAGAATTCTCTCAAGTCTCTCATCTAAAAATGCAGTCAGAGCACTGAATTATGGAGCAATAAAGGATCATGAAATAATGTAATACAGTATGTAGAGCCAAAGGGGAGCCAATGACAGGCTAAGAAACTTTCTAAAAGAGGCAGGTATATCTAAGTTAATTACTAAGTAGTAACTATTATAAATGGAAAAAGAAAAAACAGCACTTCTTAGCCAGTAGCAGCACCATTAACTCTAGTTAGTCACTCAGCAACAGCATTTAGTCTTTTGTGGCAGTTGTGTGGGTGTCTCAGAATTAACTCAGTGTATTTGCTTTCATTGTTTCCTAGCTGTATTTTCATCATTTCTAAAATAGTGCTAAGCAGGGAAAAGTGAAATGTAAAGGGAAGACTTGGGCAACTTTAGTGGGCTCCACAGGAAGGGTAAGAACTGTGGCCCCAAACCTTACACAGTAAAAATCATCAGTGGCTCTCATACTATACATCGCTGGTGCTGTGCTTCCTCTTCTTTCCACAGGGTCTCTTTGCTTTCTTCTCCCTTTGACCAACTTCCTCCCTGTGTTATATTCATTACTGCTAATGACATCTAAGGGCAGTCCTTGGCACCACTGACAGAACTTCATTTATTCAGTTTAAGAAATGCCAACTATATATAAGCTCAGCATGATGAGGTGATGAGTATCTCAAGATAGGGACACTACTGTCCACTGCTTCTGAGACTGGGAACAATAATCACTTAAAAACACCAAGCACCAACCTGAAATGAACCTTCTTTGACACACATTCAAGTGACCTAAGCAAATTCTCATTATTTTTGTCTATTTACTCTCACTTAAAAAGGATCAAGATGTATGGCTCAGAGAAGCATAACACCTTTCTGTCCCAAAGCAAAAGTGGCATGTTTTTTCAAATCATTTTCACCTTAAATTTATCTAAGAACTGTCCTAGAAAGAAGTTCTATCCAGACCCCTCAAATTGGTGCTCTCCGAGTTACCTTCTTAAATAATGTTGTCCAGAACAATCTCCAGGCAAGCTGACTTTTTAACCTCTTAAACCCTTTCAATGTAGGCCAACTGAGTAAAAATGTACTACTGATCTTACAGGATCCTCTTTCCAGCTTTCAATCTATGCTCTTGTTCTTTCTGCCAGGCACGTGTCTCCACACTCTGCTGTGGGTAAAATCTGTCAAGATCCTTTATAACGTCTCCGACCCAAATCCATTTTTATTTCCTTGGAGTTTTTGTAGGGTTCAGTATGTCCTACTTTTTACTACCCTGTGTTATTTATGAAATTGCTTCAGTCCTTTAGATTACTCGAGGACAAAAGTACAAAGTACATTTAATGAATGATCCCTGGAAGGGGATAGGCTGACATTAAGACAATCTGGAGGTCACCAAACCCAAAACGCTAAGATTCATATCTGTACACAAAGTTAAGTAGATATTTATGGAATGCCTGCCTCAGTCAGGTGACTATCTTTAGGAAGTATTTTCATACAGGAGCCCTACGTTCCAGTGTAGCAGGTGCCACTGGTAATTTGTATGACCCTGGGCAAGTCATTTCCCAGCTGTCAATTTCTGCGTTAAGGAGAAAGACAAACGGAACCTATTTCACAGGTTAGAACGTACCTCCCAGGAAACAAGTTGTGAGGAAAGCACTACGCGAAGCACACAAAAGCCTCAGAGGTCGTCCCTCCTGATCTAACAGCGGCCCGCCAGGCACGAAGTGGCCTCTTCCCTGAGGAGGCTGCGAGGAGCCTCGCGACGTCAGCTGAAGCCACGCGGGCCGGGCGCACCGCGCAGAGCTTGCGGGGAGCGGCAGCCCGACCTCTCCCGGGCCCGCACTACCAGCCACCGCGCCGCGGCGCAGACGCGCGTGAGACGCGAGACGGCGACGCCAAGCGGCGGGCCCGCAAACGTGGCAGCGTTCACGCTTCTGCCCTTGGAGCTGGTGGCTGTTCCCAGCAGAAAGGGAGCGCAGGGCGGTGACGGAGTCGCGCTGGCTTCCCAGCCGAAGCAAGGGGCGGGACCGCACGAGGGCCCGGGGCCGGTCACTTCCGTTTCCCGTCGCGCGCGAGCCGCAGGCTGCGATGGAGTAGCGGCGGATGGGCGTCTCGCGGAGGCAGATCGAGAACTGCTGGTGCGAGACCTTGTGCCGCCAGCCCTCGGGCTGCACTCGCTGGCCGGGCTTCGACAGGCGCGGGCCGACAGCTCGGCTCGTCGGCGGGGTCTGGCCGGGCGGCGGCTCGCAGCTGAGCCCGAGAAAGCAGGAAGCAGCCTGTGCGGGAGTCGAGCTGTCTGAGGTAACCGAGCAGCTGCTTCCCTGAGGCGGGCGGGCGGGAGGGCGACGGGCGGCCGTCCTGTTCCGTAGGCAGCGGCGTCAGTGTCCCGAGTCTGCTGCTTGACCGGCGGGAGTGAGGCCTTCATCGAGCTCCAGAAGCCACGCGCTGCCCCATTTGCGCAAGTTCAGCCGGTGGCCGCGGCGGGCGCTCGCTCACGCCCTGCCCGCCCGCTCCGTGTCCGCCGCGGCGGCCGGAGACGCTTTCCCGCCCTCACTGCCCTTCAGTCGCCGGCCAGTGTTGCCGCGGGAGGCGGCATCAGTACAGCTTCTGGGGGACGCAGGAAGCCCAGTGGTGGAACGCTTGCCGCGCGTGTGCGCGGCCTGGGTGCAGCACCCCGTAGGCAGAGGCAGCAGCAAGTTCTGCTGATGCAAACACGGGAAGAGTCTGCTGCCTCCAGGCCGCGAAGGGCAAAAAGGAGCCTGCCGTTTCTTTAAATATCCGTGGCATCCTGGGCAGATGTTAGTTCGTCTCAGGGAAAGTGAGGCACACGAAGCTCTACTTAGCCTCATTTACAGGTCTAGATGACTCTTGAAGAAATATAAAATAGGCAGGCGGATCGCTTTAACCATCACCAGCTCCCTCTCGGCAGTATAGCCCAGCGGTAGAACGCTTCCATAAGCGAGCTCGAGGCCCTCTGTTTGATCCTCAGTGGGAGGGGGGCGCAAAACCAAAAACACCAACTTCCCATCCATTCTGTCGTTTAAAAAAAACAAAACTCGACATTATGTAAACAAAAGCCAGCTGTGATTATTAGTATTAATTTTTTAGGTCAGATAAATTTAAAATGGTGTGTAAATCTGCAGAGAACGATGCGCCCTAGTTACTTAGTTAAGGAGCTGCTTTTTGAGAAAAGTGGCTACTTTCTCCCTAATTATTTACCTTCTACTTTGGTTTCACAATCTCACCTCTCCTGCCATTGTTGATAGAGTTGAAAGGAGCGTATCAAATGTTCCATGAAGGTTCTTTTTTGGTTTTTGGTGTTTGTTTTGTTTTTTAGGTTTTTTTAAGACAGAGTCTCACTATGTATATAGGCGGGTCTTGACTCGATTGTGTAACCCAGGCTGGCCTCAAACTCACGGCTATCCTCCCGCCTCAGCCTCCCAAGTGCTGGAATTACAGTTGTGCACCACCATGCCAGGCTGAAGAGACAGTACTATCTTCACCTGTACATAGAGGTCTTATAAAAATTGTGCTCCTTCTTAAAGATTGAAGTGACCTATTAAAATATAAGAGAAACTCACAGTGTTCTCCTAGATTTATTTCCTTGTGTTCTTCCCTTATGGGAAAAATAGGACAGGAAGCACACCAATTGAGTCTGGATATTCACAAAACTCCTTTCAGCTATAGTAGATATCAATTTCCCAAGTACCACTGTTTCCTGAGTTGTTGAAAAAAAAAGAAAAAGCAGTTGACTTTTGTCTTCTCTGAACTGTGTTGAACTTTGAGTACTATGAAAAGAGAAGAGACCTGGCAGTTGATTTTAAAGGCAAAGCAAGACAAGACCTTTTCTGTTCCATTTTCTCCCCTAATAAGTAATAAGTATTAGGCTCATGTAAATCTGTTGCTCATATGAACTTTTTTCCTACCCTGCCTTTAGGAAGAAGATACTTTTATTTTGTACCAGACCAGTTGGGGTCTCAGTTATCAAAGGTGGCACCAGTGAGGTGTCAGACGCAGGAATAAAACTGTTGCTAGAGCAGAATGATGATGGTCGATCTGAAGGTGGTTGAGCATTTGGACCCTCAGATCAGGGCTCTGTGGGAGACTAAGGAACCTGTGACAGAAGGCTCTAGTCAAAATACAAAATCTCCACAAACAGACAGTCTTGATCCCAAGAGCTCTTGCTGGTATTTCCGGAACTTCTATTATCACAAAGCAGCTGGACCCCGTGAGGCTGTCAGCCAACTTCAGGAATTATGCAATCTGTGGCTGAGACCAGAGATCCACTCAAAAGAGCAAATCTTGGAACTTCTGGTACTAGAACAATTCCTGACCATCCTGCCAAGGGAGACACAGACGCAGTTGCAGAAGCACCATCCAGAAAGCATCGAGGAGGCTGTGGCACTGGTAGAACACTTGCAGAGGGAATCTGGTCAAGGGAGGAATGGGGTGAGAAGAAAGATTCCTGAAATGTACAGTGAAATAGAATGAAGGTGGATATAATGGCTGTGGGAGCAGTTATTTGAGAAATGATGAATTAGGTCATTTCTATTGTTCCTTTAAGACAGTTCAAAGTGGGATTTGAAACCCTAAGCACACAAGAAAAGTCAGTCTGCCAGTTCCAGAGATCATGGCAGAGACTTCGCTTGCGTCAGAGAAAAAGAGTTGAATTTTGCCTTTGGAGCCGTAATGAATTGATGTCTTGACTACGGAGATAAAACCTGAATTCTTAGAAATAAAAGGTATTAATAGGGGAGTAGGGCAGAGAGACCAATGGAGAGCAAGAAAGAAAATTCAACTAGGGAGATATTTCAAGGTGTGAGGAAAAATGGAAACAGACTTGAAAAGAAGGAAAATCCTAATGAGTAGCTGTGAGACAACTCTGAGAGATAGGGTCCTCCCTGCAGTAGATGAGCCTTCACTGCTGTCTCAATGGTTATTCCTTGGCTTTGCTGATGAGTGGAGAGCCAGGGTATGCTCTTGGGCAGGTGTCAAACACCTGCTGGCTTCAGGCCTACCGTGAAGAATACAGGGCAGGATATAAGTTTGGTGTGAAAATCATTTGGAGGTAGGCTGGAGCCACTCTTCCTCTTGTTTGTTCTATCTCTATTCTCTGTGAAAAAACCTTCCCTGACCATAGGACAATCTGGCTGACAGGAAGCTTTTTATTGTATCTCTTATTTTTTAAGAGAAGATGACAAAATAGAAAACCACTAAGGAAAGGATTTATAGCAAGAGAAAAGGCCATACAAGGCAATATAATTGACTTGCCCAACCCTGGTAGTGGCCTATGTTGAACTCTGAATACAGATGGGGCTTTCTATGTTGGAAGTATAGCAATAGCTAGAGGTTTGTTGTTTTTTTTAAGTTTTATATATATATATATTTACTTTAAAGAGAGTAGTAAAAGAAAAAAAAAGAACAATAGCAGCATACCAACATCACAAATAAAACAAGGCAAGCACGTTAAAAGTGATACAGGGTCTCAAAATGATAGGAATTAACAGTGGTTGTTATATTACATATTGTTATCTTCAACTACGTTGCTCAGATTACCAGATGTAAGAATGGAAGATTGTTCAAACCATTAAAGAGAATAAAAAAATAATTATTAGATAAAACATCAGAGATAATACAGTTTCCCTAGACATGGTTTTTGTTTTTTTAATTTTATGTAAATTTTCTCAGATTTGTGGATAGTTCTTTATGGATATCAGTGATTCACTGTCTCTCTGTCTCTCAACAGTAGCAAGGTTTTACATTTAAAGGTAGGAAAAGAAACATACTCTGCAGAGCGACTTTGGGCCAACAAAAAATAGGAAAAAAGTGCACCTTTCAGAGAGAACAGACCCACTATGAGAGAGAGGGCCAGTATCTCTTTTAAGTTCTTTTGTTATTTTTGGCCTCATACTTCCTAGAGTTTGTGGTGTACAGGTGTTCCTCCTGCTATACCCCCCACCAAAGTAAGTTCTATGGTAACAAGGATGGGGATTATTTCTAGGTTACAGCCCATGAGCTGGGAAAGAAAGCATTGTTGGAAGAAACAGCAGAGGCCCCAGGTTTCAAGCTTAATCCAGCAGAGTCCCAAACAGAGGGCATATCCCAGGATAAAGAATTTTGGAATACATACCAAGGACGACAAGAACAGCTGAACAAGAGTACTTATAAGGAAACTGATCCTGTATATAAGACAGGTAAGGAGTTTCTGCAATGGGTAATTTTGTTCTGGGAACTTCAACTGTGATTTGTTTGGCCAGGATGTCATGGGCATTCTCTGTGTACCCAGATGTGTGGATTTGTAAAAGTAGCCCTGATAGCAGTTGTCATGTCCCCTCAGGCAGTAAAAGAATAAATCAACTAAATCAACTCTAAGTGAAGGCAGGCATTAGCCTATAGTGTAGAAACATCCAGACCACAGAACCTCGGTAATAGCACCATGAACTCCTTTCTTTAGGAAAATAGGAGGAAAAGAAAAGATGTTTTGGGGCAGCTTCATCCTCATAAAATTAAGAAGGATTGGAGTCATAAATAATAATAACTAATTTTTGCCTGACTCAGAAGAGCTTATATCATCAAAGGAAAATAAAAAGGGATTTTACTTCTTATGACAACTAAGGAAACAGTCAGCTGGGGAACTGGTTTTAAGGGCTTGTAAGTACTTGGCTCTTTTTTATGAAAAAGTCACACACAACACTTGTAGAGGTGTCCCATCTCTACTGACTGAATCAGGATCTGCATTTTAGAAATGAGCTCAGGATGTTTGGTAGAAATGAGCAGTTTCCTCTGGCTCTTTTCCACCCACAGATGAGCCTGCTCAACAGATTCTATCCTTTCCTGAGCAGACAGCTACCAAAGACTGGACAGTGACTCCTGAACTCATCTTGCCTGAGTCCCAGGTGAGCTGTACTTGCCAGCTGTTTAGAGCTGTCTTTTTCCACTGGCCATGATTCATAGTAACTAAAGGAGCTCAGAGGCGTGTTAGACTTAATTGTTCTCTCCTGGGGAACTGGGTTCCTCCTAGGCTATATGCTGATTCCTTAGGGCCTTTCTGCCTCTCACTTTTTAAAATATAGTTATGTATTCTTAATGATGGGAATACTTCCTGAAAATGTGTCATTAGCTATTTTGTCATTGTATAAACATCATAGATTGTGCTTAAACAAACCTAGGTGCTGTCAGTCACTTGAGGGCTCTCTTTTTTTTTTTAAAAGTAGAAATACATTTCAAAATAATTAAAATATGATACAGTAAATATATAAATCAGTAAGTTTATTAAGTTCTATGTATAGTACATGTGCTACACTTTTGCGCAACCCAGTGCAGTAGATTTGTTTAAACCAGCATCATCACAAAAATAGGAGAAACACATTATGCTGTGATCTCACTAAGTAATAAAAATTTTCTAGCTCTATTATAATCTTATGGCTTGTAAATACTTGGCTCTTTTGGAGAGAGCCAACTGTTCTCCAGTTGGCTGGAACCACTGTTCTATATGTGTCCCATCATTAACTAAAATATCCTTACATGGTCAATGTCTATAATCACATACTGTTGATTCTTTAGAGCTGGGCATGGTGGCGCATGCCTGTAATCCCAGCACTAGGGAGGCTGAGGCAGGAGGATTGCCAAGAGTTGGAGGCCAGCCTGGGCTACATAGTGAGTTCAAGGTCAGCCTGAACTACACAGTGAGACCCTGTTTCAAAAAACAAACAAACAAATTTTTAAAAAATTTATTTTATTACCTATTCTATCCTATCATTCTTAGCCAGGTGATTAAGATGACTCTGTAGTGGCAGATCCCAAACTAAGTCCATTCTCTTCCTCAGAGTTTGTTGACATTTGAAGAAGTGGCCATGTATTTTTCCCAGGAAGAATGGGAGTTACTGGATACTGCTCAAAAGGCTCTCTACAATGATGTAATGCAGGAAAACTATGAGAATGTCATCTCTGTAGGTAATGACTCTCCCTATCTTTGTTTTTGTTTTTTGTTGTTGGTTTTTGGTTTTTGGTTTATTTTTGCTTTTTGAGACAGGGTCTCGCTATGTAGTTCCAGCTGGCCTTGAACTCACTATGTAGCCCAGGCTGGTGTAGAACTCATGGTGATCCTCTTCAGTCAGCCTCCTGAATGGTAGGAGTATAAGCATACACTGCCATGTCTAGCTTCCTACACTTTGTGTCCTATGTTGCATTCTTGGCTTACTGAGAATGAAATCCTGTTAGCCTCATGCTTTTTGTAAGTGATTGGCTCTTAGCTCACTGGTATGGGGAAGGGGAAATGGATATCCAGATCACCTGAATTTTTTTTTTCCAAATGTAAATGGTTATTTCATCCTACATGGAATTCATCATCCATTCCTCTTCTCTGAGATCTGCTCTTCTGTTTCTTTACTCAGTAAAGGCACCATCATTACCCAGTTACTCAGGGCAGAAAATGTATGAGCTTCCTTTCATCTCCCCTTCATATCCCATTAGTAACACAATAGCAACATTTTTTAGCTCAACTTTCCCATATATCTTGAGTCTAGCTATGCCTCAGCCCTGTGAACTGTTAAGCATCATAGTCTAAGCCAGCATTATGTTGCATTAGATAGCTTTCTAACACCCTGCCTATACGCTTATCTTCCCAGTCTACTTCCCATAGAGCAACCAGAACTTTTAACAGAAAACCTCATCAGATTTCCTTGCTTCAAAATCACTTCCCTGCAGTAATTTCTTAAATTCAGAATAAAATGCAGATTCCTTACCTCATGACCCTCCTTGATGTGTCCTCATGTCCTGCTTTTTGTGCCCCTGTTCACCCTTCTGTAGGCATATTGGTTTTCCTGCTGTTTCTTGACATTGGTATGCTCATTTTACTTTCCTTTTCCTCTGACTGGTACTCTTTTTCTGCCACATAACAGAAAACGTGTTTTTCAGTTTATTCTCAAATACTGCTTTCTCAAAAAAGACTTCTATACAGCCTTATCTAAAATGGGCTTTCAGGATTAAAATCTTAGAATTATTTTTACTATCTTCAGTTTTCTTTAAAACATAATTTCCTGAAATTATTTTATTTATTGACAAATTGACTCACTATGCCAATAGAATGTAAACTTCATGAAATCTGGGGACTGTGACTTCTTTACCACTATATCGCCACCTTACAAAGCAGTGCCTAGTACATCCTAGCCATGTAGTAATTATTTATTTATGTATTTATTTATGGTGTTGAGGATTGAACCCAGGGCCTTGCTAAGCATGTGGTCTAATACTGTGTTATATCCCTGACCCCAACAAATTTTTATTGCAGCAATTATTAATAGATATGTTCAACACGGGACAGCCTATTCAGAAAGGGTCCACCTCTTCCTGGATTCCTCTATTTGGATGTGAAATTGAGTTATAAGAGGGATAGAAATCTGTCCTAGTTCAGGGCCAGGTACTAAATAAATAGAAGCTAAGTAAGCAACTATAACTATGACAGTAATCTCTTATGCATATGATATCCAACTTGTCCTTGACACTGGCTCCACTATACCTAGTCTTATTCAGAATGAATCCTCTTAGAAGTTATTGACCAGCCTATCTTTCTCATAACCTCCGCAAGTTTGTTTTCTCCTTTGGTCAAAAATGGGTTATTCTTAGTGGAAGAAGAGAGTAAATATGTAGTGGGTTGATATTCCCTGTATCATTTTCATTGATCCATCTTGGAGATTATTTCTCTACTTTGTATGTTCACCCATGAATGCTATATAATAAAAACATGATAGTGAATCTTGGAATCTGTTCATCATTTGGGTAACAAACTATAAAAGTATTTTTTATTCTTCTTGAATAGTTTGAAATTAGTAGGATTGGTAAGTTATAATCCTTGATGTAATTTTTTTCGATTTTACAGCATTATTTGGGCTCCCCAAACCTAAAGTGATCTCCTGTCTAGAACAAGGGGAAGAGCCATGGGTTCAAGGGCCCTTGGATTTCAAAGACAGTCCCAGAGAGTCACCTACAGGTAAATACACTATTGGAAGAGGAGACATATGCCTTGATGCAGACCTTTACAAGGACTTACATTTTAGGATTCTGTTCCTCTGGTGGTGGTAGTTGTACATATGTATGTTTCTGTTGGTTAAGATTGAACCCAGGTCCTTGCCCTGGCAAGTGCTGTACCACTGAGTTACTTCCCCAGCCAGTTAACTTTTTATTGTGAGCCAAAGTCTTGCTAAGTTGCTCAAGCTGGCCTTAAATCTGTGATTCTTCTACCCCAGCTTTTCAGGTAGCTGGGATTACATGTGTTTGTTACCATACCTGCCTTTCTCTCTCTTTTTTTTTTTTTTTAATTAATCATCATTGAATTTTCCTTTCCTGTGGTTTTGTTGTTCTGGGATACATATAGCTGATTCTTATGTTTATCCCAACAGAATTAAAGCTAAGAAGTGACACTGAAAATCAGCAATCTGTTGCCCTTTCTGCTTTAGAAATACATGCACCAAGAGACATAGTATCAAAAAAGGCCAAAGTGAATGTTCACCTGCAAACAAGCAAAGAAAATCATAGTGACATGCACAGAGTAGGGAAATGGTACAGAGATTTTCCAGTGAAGAAAAGAAGGAAACTGTCAACATGGAAACAAGAGTTGCTGAAACTAATGGATCTTCACAAGAAAGACCGTATAGGAGAGAAGCCTTTTAAATGCCAGGAATGTGGGAAAAGCTTCAGAGTTAGCTCTGACCTTATTAAGCACCAAAGAATTCACACTGAAGAGAAACCATATAAGTGTCCACAGTGTGATAAGAGATTTAGATGGAGTTCAGATCTTAATAAGCACTTAACAACGCACCAAGGAATAAAACCATATAAATGTTCATGGTGTGGGAAAAGCTTCAGTCAAAATACAAATCTTCACACACATCAAAGAACTCACACAGGAGAGAAGCCCTTTACATGTTATGAATGTGGGAAAAAATTCAGTCAGAACTCTCACCTTATTAAACACCGCAGAACCCACACAGGTGAGCAGCCTTACAGCTGTGGTGTATGCAAGAGAAACTTTAGCAGGCGATCAAGTCTTCTTAGACACCAGAAAATCCACCGATGAAGGAAAGTGTGTCCAATGTCCTCATTCTGAAAAAACTCAACAAGTGGAGCTTTATAGTAAAGTTGAAGACAAGCAGAATTGTGAAGCATGAAGAGTTTTTCATCATTGGAAAATTTGGGGATATAGATACATTGTTTCACAGAAAGAAATCAAAGTTGTATGTTAAGGGTAGGTTAGCTGTACTACTTTCTGTTTTTATTATTATCTGCCAGGGAGTTCCTTAGCAAGAAAGGTGTTCTAAGACAGTAGTGGCAAACTTACAGCACACATCTTCATTGGGCTGTTTGTTATCGTTGAAAGCCCTAAAAGGTTTGCCATCACTATTCTAGAAGCACTCTGAATAAGGAAAAGGTTGTTTTAGGATTGTACTTGGAAAAATAGTAATTTCAATTTAAGGTTGCAGATGCAGCCAATGAGTTGTCTATTAAAAGTAAATATTGTTACTTTTGCACTGATCTTCCACTCTGGAATGTACATGTTGGAAATATTTATAGCATTGTCTTTAAGACAAAAAAAAAAATGTGTCTGTTTAATTGCAAACTATTGTCTTCAGAATTGTAGGCTTACCAATTTTAATAGTCTTTGCTGGGCAGAGATGAATTCTCCTAGAACATTTTCCAGCAGCTAAATTGGATATTCTCTCTTGTCTTTGGACACTGTTCACAAAGTTGGACGTCATTTGAGTTCCTTCTTGAACTTTTTAGGAACCTGAGCTCTTGAATCCTGTTAACATAATTGCTACTGTTATGAAATAATTTATTTTACCAGTAGGTAGTCTGCCAAATGAACTAATAATGCACTATTTTATGTCTCACTGGTGATGTTTGGGAAATGGAGAACATCTCTAATGAGATCATACAGAAACGGGTTGGAATTTGTAGCCATGATTATATATGAGATGTAAAGAGTTTTCTGCAATAAAAGAAATTAGACTTTTTTTTTAACTACAAAATGTCAGTAGAGCAGTCATAAATATTAACACTTATCCAAGGCATGAAAGAAAATTTATGAGTGTTTAGGATCAACTTCTTTTGGTTTTTGTTTACTTTTTAATTTGGCTTTTATTTGTCATTGAGGATGAGAGTTATGTTTGTATGAAAACTGGAATGTATATGCTATAGGCAGGATTCTGTTGGTTACTTAACGTGGATACTGAGCATCTAGTCAGGAGATTGAGTTCCCAAAAGGAACAGTTTGGGAACTTATGGTTGATATTAAGCAAAGATAAGCAAATCAACATCTGTGTTTTGTCTTAAAATGAAAGCTGAGAGGGTGAGTTTACCTGTCTTTTCTATCCAGGGCAGTATTTATAGCAATCTCAGGTAATAAATTTATTAAGATTGCTGATAGTCTGTAATATATGGATTTTCATCTAATTCAGCTGTTTTAGCTGCAACAGTGACTCAGGTGTTTTATAGTTTGGGATTTTGGGTATACCAGGAAAGAGGTTAAAGAAATTATTTCTCCCAAGTCATTTATAAATGAAATTGAGGCTCATAGAGTTACATAGACATCCCAAAACCCCATTACTATAGGACCTGTTAGATATCACTTAGTTTCATCTGTCAGATATGAAGGCAAAATTAGTAGGACCAATTTGTTTTGTAATGCCTACTTAACCAGACTGAATAACATTGTGTTGTATCTAATTCTAGCTTTAAAACATTCCTGTTTTTTGATTGGTTCCTGAAGTATGCTGTTTTTCCTGAATATCTTCATCTTCTTTATAAAATAGAGTTAACAATCAACTTGATTTTATTCTGGGGATTTGATGGATTAATGAAAGTGGATCACCTAAAACAGGGCCTGATCCATAGTAGATGCACAGTCTGTATGTTTTCTTTCCCTTTTCCTTTCTTTCCAGTGATAAGTTGGGTGGGCTGACTGCAATAAAAAGAAATGTGTGTGTGGCTATTACAGCTCCAATCCAGAGGTGAACATTTGTGGTAATGGTTATACTGAGCTGATTTGATCCTTGGTTTTGGTGCTTTATGTTATTTGTCGCAGGAACCATCTACGTAATTGTCTGAAGTTCTCCGCAATTTTATTTCATAAGTTATATGAAGTATTCTTTTTAAGGCTAGCTATTGCTGGTACATATAGCAGCCTCTCAGCCTTAGATCTTGGGCTTCTGTCTCTTTGCGTAGGAAATAAGGGGATTTCTTCCTGATCCTATATTCACTCAGTTAATTTGAGGGTCTTTTGTGTTCTAGCGACTATACTAGACTGAAGCTACAGCAAATGAGATAAAAACACATTCTTTAACAGTTTTTATTCTAGTAAAGAGGACAAAAAAGGAAAATAGTTTTTTCCTTGCTATTTGCAGTAAGACTGGGTCATGAGATAGTTTTTCTTAGTGGGTTGTAAGCAGAAGCCTCACTTCTGGGCTGAAGGTTTTATTCACTGGTACAAGACCCCTTTCCTTTCCTGTATCAATCATGGAAACATACAGAGTAGCCATGAGATCAAGCAATTGGGAATGCTGAGTCCCCACATGAAGAGCAGCTATTCTGGAGTCCCCAGACCTGTAATGGACTTTATGGGAAGGAGAAATAAATGTTACATTAAATCATGGAGACATTGGTGCTATTCGTTTCTGACCTAGCTTGAGAGAGAGCTTAGATGAGGCCAGCTGAAGGTGGCTACACTTCTTGAGCTTAGGAAATTTTCCTTTTCATTCCACCTGGACTTTGGCTATCAGAAGAGATCCCGCTTCCTCTGGGTGCTTGACTGAACTGGAAACGCTTAGGAGCTCCCAAGGTTAGGTTCTTTGTCTCTGCGCTCCAGTATGTCATGCAGGCGTTTTTATTGAGATTTGGGCTAGGGAGAGGGTAGCTGATGTTTTCCTTTCCTCAGTGCTGATATTGGTAACTGCCTCTGTCATGCCTTTTGTGAGTCATGCCTCAGAAAACATCAAGGCATAGAGCAAAAGCAAACTTGTCTGGACTAGTGAAGAGAGGAGAGTTTAGGCAGGAAAACAGGAGTAGGATGGTTGTAGTTCCCAAGTGAGAAGCCTCACTGGGAAAGTCCTGACTTAAGCCAGTGAGAAGTTGCACAGTCTTACAATGTCTTTTGTATGGAATTTGGAAGAAGAGATTTCAACTTTGTTACAGAAATAAGAAAAAATTACTAAAAAAAACAGCCCTGGGCTCATCCTTAATGAGTACTAAAGCTCTTATAAATATGACCTCTATAAACAGCCAGATGATTTCTAGTACAAACCAGAAGGTTACCTTGTAGTTTGTTCAGATAGCAGTCTTACTCCAATGTTATTTCTGAGAAGTTTATTACTGTTCCAATCTAGACCGCTCCTCTCTTATACTGGTCAAAGTAACCTATAAATTAGGCCTGTTCCAGACCTATACCTAGAGTTTTCCTTGCCATAAAACAGACTTTGGGAATTCAAGCTGATCATGAGAAACTCAGGGATCTTTTAACTTGAATGGAAGGACAAGAGAACTTAGAATCAAATTTCAACTAAAACTCCTAGCCTTGGGGTTTTTTGTTTTGTTTTTTGTCTTTTTTGAGACGGGGTCTCACTATGCAGTTCAGGCTGGGCTTGAGCTCACTTTGTAGCCCAGGCTGCCCTCGAACTTGCAACAATCCTCCTGCCTCAGCCTCCCGAGTGGTAAGATTACAGGCATGCACCACCACACTTCGCTCCTGTTTTTTGTCTTTTTGAGATAGAGTTTTACTGTGCAGTTCAGGCTGGCCTTTAACTTACTTTTTAGCCCAGTCTGGCCTCAAACTTGTAGCAATCCTCCTGCCTCAGCCTCTTGAGTGCTGGGATTACAGGCACACACCACCATGCCTGGCACTAGGTTTTCTATCAGCTGTTAGAATGAATGAGAACAGTGTTTAATTTCTCTGGACAATTTGGGAGTACAAATGCCAAACATCCTGTTATATCCAGATGGATAGTGGGTGTACAAAACACTGGACTCCATAAAAGACTTTCTAAACATTTGTTGACTCAATACTAAAGTGTTTACTGAACTCTTGCACTTCCTGGAAGGTTCTTACTTGTGTAATTGATCAGGCTGCCTCTGTTACTCTTCTCTTGGGGACTTGCTAATGCATAGAGTGAATTACTTGCTGAAGCTTTCCCAGTGTGAGTCAGGTTCTTTCCCTCTGAAGTGGGAAGTGTTGAAATTTTGCCCGTACCATTTTCTCGGTTTTTGTTTTTTATTTTTCTCCTCAGTAAGACTCCACAGAAATTTATGTAGTTTGGATCTTGACTATCCCCCAAAGACCCATGTGTTAATTAAAGCTTGCTTCTCAGCTCAATGCTATTAGGAAGTGATTAAAAAAAAATTAAAGGTAGAGCCCACTGGAAGGTTTTGGGGTTGTTGGGGGTATACCCTTGAAGAGGGTAGTAGAACCCCAATAACTTCCTCTTATTCCTTGGCCATAATGGAAGCAACTTTGCCCCACCCTGTACTCCCACCATGATGTATTACCTAGTCACAGACATGAAAGTAACAGTCAGCCAATCGTGGACTTGAACTTTTCCCTTTGTAAGTCGATTATCTCAGGTATTTGTTATAACGATAGAAACCTAACACATAAGTATAACCATATTTTTGTCAACTGAAATTTTTCCACACTTGTGACTTTTTTTTTTTTAGAAATAAGACAGTCTAATAAAAATAATTTTAAAAAGAAGCAAGTCTGTTGTTCAAAAAGTCACACAATTTCTCATTTAGAGGATGCGTAACAAAATCTTAAGAATCTTAAAAGTTCAATACTCCAAAAAGAAATTCAGTGCTCCAAAATGCTTTTTACAATTGTTTCTGTTTGAGAATCAGAGAATACAAAAATGTAATAATCATAGACACAACTTCACCCAATAATGTAGATAAGACTGTATGCAAGTAGCATTGTGACTTTCTTTTCTTGAGAGACAGGGTCTCATCATGTACTTCAAGCTGTCTTGAACTCACTAGATAGTCCAGGGTGCCCTTGAACTCCCTGTGTACCCTAGGATGGGTTTGAACTTGCAGTGATCTGCCTCCCTCAGCCTCCCCAGTGCTAGGATCACTATACCTAGTTCTTGTCATGACTTTTGGGGGGTATTTCTTTGTGACGGACTATGCACTAGAAAGGGACCCAAGTTCAGAAGTACATAGCTCAAGGAGGCTCTCAAAGGGAGGGGCCCCTCATGGTTCTTGCCCTCAGAGGTGGACTGGGGAGGTAGTCTGCATTTCATTAGGAAGTGCACACCCAGCTTCTTACCCAGGCTGCCAGCTGCATCAGCTAGCAAACCATTTGCTCCTCTGCACATTTACAAGGTCTGAACAGTTTCTGCTTATATTGTTCAACCGGCTGATTGAAGTGAGCTTCTGTCTTATTTCCCTTAGTTTCCCCCCTCCCCCAGGAAGCTGCTTGGAAGACAACTGCTGTTTTTCTTGCTTCTACCACTTTATCTGGGGCTTTGGTTTCTTCACTTTCCCTTTGTCTCACAACCTAATTTTGGGCCCTCAGTGAGAGGGGATCTGCAGGACCTACCTTTCTGTAGGACAGCTTCACCTGCTCTATGTCAGCCTTGGTCTGGAACCTTGTCCATAAAGTGGAGCCCACCTTCCCCTTTTGTGCTGGCAGGGGTGGGGGCCTGGCTTATACCTGTGTGTGGTTTTGAACTGCCTTCTGTTGCTACTCTTTCTTTCTTTCTTTTTTTTTTTTTGGTCTTTTTGAGACAGTGACTCACTATGCATTTCTGGCTGTCTGGAACTCACAATAATAATCCTCCCACCTCAGCCTCCTGAGTGCTGGGGTTACACGCGTGTGTCACCACGCCTTTCACAAAAGGACAATCCGTTCTGTGCCATTTGTAGGTCTTACTGTTTTGTGGTTCTGAGAACTGGACCAAGGCTTCCAAAGACTAGACAAGTGCTGTACACTGAGCTACGTCCCCAGCTCTTTTTAAAAATTTTTATTTTGAAACAGTCTTGCTAAGTTGCTCAGGCTTCCCTCAAACTTGCTGCCTGAATAACTGGAATTATAGGTATCTGCCGCCGTGCCCAGCCACACTGATGACTTCATACTTCTTTGTGTAGGTTTGCTGGGACATCAAAGCATCTAACACACTTGGTACTGTATATGTATAGGTTTCCTTCATGGATGCATCCTCCAGTTGGCAATGTTATGGGGGCAATACTGAAATACTTCCTGTGGTCGTGCGTCTATAAGTATTCTGCCGTGTATGATTCATCAAACTCCTGCACGTTACCAAATGCAGTCCCCCCCCTTAATGAAAAGAATTTAGCTTTTGCATTGTATTTCAAATTTAGAAAAACTATCAATTATTTATTTTAACCATAGTTTGAATGATAAATCTCAAGTTGAACCAATCTTTTCTCTGTTACCATAGAAATAAGACTTGTTTAGATACAATGCTCCTTTAAGAAAAAACTTAGGAAGTTGTTCTTAGTTTTGTAACACTCATAAAAATAATATTTCCAGCATCATAATTTCATAGGAGGCATCTGCCCATGACTTACACAAACAACTGAATTGTTTCAAGCTTTTGAAATCAGAAAGTAAAGGATCTTTAGTGTTCACAAAGACAAAAATGATACATTATTAATGTCAGGAAGTTTTTTAAAACAATTCCTTTCTTTCACTGTGGTAAGTAAGCCTTGTCTGGGTTCAAAACTATCCTCCTTAAAGGAGAAATGCATATTTCCAGTCTTAATTTGAGTTAAGAAGGCCTCTACAGGCTTCTCTTGAATCTTTCCAAAGCCCCTACAGTTTTTTTGTGGTTTGGTTTTTTTTTGGTGGTTTTTTTTTTTTGTCTTTTTAGAGACAGGGTCTCGCTGTGCAATCCCGGCTGGCCCTGAGCTCACTTTGTAGCCCAGGCCAGTCTCTCGAACTTGCAATGATCCTCCTGCTTCAGCCTCCCCAGTGCTGGGATTACAGGTGTGTGCCACCACACCCAGCGCCCCTACAGTTTAAAACCCAAACTTTCACAAGGCTTATGCCTGACAGTATTAACCCAGTAACTTCTGCCTCCCTTGTCTTTCCCTCTGGTACAAGTTCATCTGCTCTTATTCTGAACACTATTTATTCCTTTCATAGTGTGTTCAAACAACTTAGAATTAATTGGTTTGTTTACTAGTTTTTGTCTATTCATCCCCTATTTAAATGTGTCAGGAGGACAAGATTGTCCCTTTTATGCAGCCTTGTATCCCAGGGGACAGACACCCGAGCATTAGCGTTAGTTGCTCAGGGATCTCCCTCCAGGTGTCTGTTGTTTGTTGGGACTCGTTGGTCTCTCAGTGGTTCCCTGGGAGAAAACAGCAAGGGGATTTAGAAAATACAAGAAACAAGATAGAGGTCAGGTGGAGGCCTCTTATGGGATGGGAAAGAGGACTGAACAACAACAGTTGGGGCCTTCATACTTTTGCGAGGTTAGTGTCACAAGACAATGTTGCCTAGTGACTGATGACTAATTGTCCAGGCAGGATGTTTTCCTCCAGACTGAGGCAGCTTGACTACTTGAGGTGCCCTGGCTCTGTCCTGCCCTCACACAATATGACCAGTTTCCAGCTCTAGCCACTCCCAACAGTTGCTACAC